AACGCAAAGAAATGGTAAGTGTTTGAGATGATGGATATGCTAATTACCCCAATCTGACCAGTACATCACTATGTACCTCATGGTATGTACAATTATTATGTGTCCATTAAAAAAATTAAATTAAACTAAATTAAAAAAAGAAGTGAATAGACAAGCCACAGACTGGAAGAAAATATATGTAAAAATATATATCTACAAAATTACATTCTGTAAGGAAAGTCCTAAACCTGACGTGAAATTCGAGCAGAAGAATAAAGTAGAGAAACAGAAGCCTCAGGGCTGTAAGAGCATGCTGTAGATTATGTATTTATCTGTAGATTACAGACAGTGCATATAGATAATAGTTTTATAAAATACAGATTAAAAAATTCATTCTGATATAAGATGGATGCCTTCAGCTACAGAGATAAATTACTTCCAATCTGTCAGAATGAAAATGATAGACACATAGAAAATACTTTCATTGTTATTTATTCAAAACTATCTGTGGCATGATTACAAACATAAACTCTGTGGGCTATGGCTGGATAAGAACAGAGAATAATGAAAAGAATTTATATGGTAGGCTAACAGGAATATAGATAAATATTTTCTTATTTTCTTTTCAAATATTAAATTTCTGAAGGGGGGGGCTACATAAATATAAAACTTTAGCAAATAATAAAGACAAAAAATACTTACTTGTCCTAGGCTTAAATTAAGAACCATCAGAACAGCAGAGTTCCCTTCTAATCCTGCTTGAATAAACACCTTTTTCAAGACTTCTTTGAATTCTATGTAGGTATAATTGTGAGATATAGGGACTCGGTACAGTTTGTTGTTTGTCAAATAACAGGCCATGGTTGCACAGGTTTTTTTTCCACATCCATCTATTCCGATCTTTGGGAGAAAAAAATACAACATATGACTTCTATATATTGTCTTGAGATCTTTTAATATATAGTTTCCTGTTTATGATAGGAATTTTGACAGTCAAAATATCTTGGACTATTTTTATTTACAACCTTTTTGGGAAGTATATTAAACATAACTTAAGCATTTTCTCAAAGTTTTATAAGATATTCATCACATTTAATATTTTCATTTTCACAGCCTCTTGAAATATATGAGATGATTTCACTGGAAAGATAAGATAATCTGGAAAAAACAGCACAGATAGGTTTATAAACTATCATTATGTCACTGTCAAAATTTGATTCTTCATTTACAAGAAACTAGGTAAGTCTTTTATTTTTTTTTTTATTATTTTTTTAAGTCAGGGTCTTGCTCTGTGACCCTGGCAGGAGTGCAGTGGCATCACCACAGCTCACTGAAACCTCAAATTCCTGGGCTCAAGCGATCCTCCTGCCTCAGCCTCCCAAGTAGCTGGGACTACAAGCATGCGCCACCATGCCCGGCTAATTTTTCAATTTGTTTATAGAGGCAGAATCTCACTTTTGCTCAGGCAGGTCTTGAACTCTTGCCTCAAGTAATCCTCCCACCTCTGCCTCCCAAAGTGCTAGGATTACAGGAGTAAGCCACTGTGCCCGGCCAGGATAAGGCTTTTATTGATAGGAAAATACCTATCTATACTATTACTGAACAGTATTCTATTGTGGACATACAACATTTTGTTTATTCATTGATGGGCATTCACGTGGATTGTTTCTACTTCTTGGCTATTATGAATAATGCTGCTATGAATATTTTCATAACAATCTTTGGGTGAACATTTGTTTTATTTTCTGTTGTGTAGATACATAGGAACAGAATTGCTCAGTTATATGGTGAATCTACGTTAAACTTTGTAAGAAATAGCCAAACCATTTTCCAAAGCAGTTGTACTATTTAACACTCCCACCAGCAATGTATGAAAGTTCAGTTTATCCACAATCTTGTCAACACTTGTTATTAACTTTTTCATTGTAGCCATTCAAGCCATTCAAGGGAGTGTTTAGTGATATCTCATTGTAGTTGTAATTTGCATTTCCCTAATGACTAATGAAATTAAACATCTTTTCATGGGCTTACTAGCCATTCATGTATCTTCTTTGGTGAAACATCTATTCAAATTTTTTGTCCATTTTAAAAAATACACTTACATTAGAAGAGTTTTAGATTTACAGAAAAATTTCCAAGATAATACAGGGAATTGTCATATACTCCATATCCAATTTCCCTTATTATTAACAACTAACGGCATAATACATTTGTTACAATTAATGAACCAATATTGATATGTCACTAACTACAGTCCATAGTTTATTCAGATTTCCTTAGTTTTTACCTATTGTCCTTTTTCTGTTCCAGAATCCTCTCCAGGGTACTATAGTAAATTTATTAGCCAAGACTCCTTAGGCTCCTCTTGGCTGTGACAATTTCTCAGACTTTCCATGTTTTTGATGACCTTAATAGTTTTAAGGAGTACTGATTAGGTATTTTGCAGAAAGTCTCTCAGTTGGGATTTTCCTGATGTTTTTCTCATGATTAGACTGGGGTTATACGTTCTTGGGAGGAAATCCATAGGGGTAAAGTGTCATTTTTATCACATCACAACAACGAGACATATGATCAACCTGATTTAACACTTTCGACGCAGACCTTGATCACCTAGCTGAGGTAGTGTTTGTCAGGTATCTCCACTGTAAAGTTACTATTTTTTCCCCCTTTCCATACTGTACTCTTTGGGAGAAAGTTACTATGCACAGCCCTCAGCTAAGGAGTAGGGAGTTATGCTCCAACTTCTTGAGGGTTGGACTATCTGCATACATTATTTGGAATTTTTCTGCACGAAGATTTGTCTATTCTCCCCCATTTACTTATTTATTCAATCATTCACTAATATCAGTATAGACCCATGGATATTAATTTTACACTTTGGGTTATAATCCAAAATTACTTTATTTTGTTCCTCCAGCTTTGGCCATTGGGAACTCTTTTAGCTGGCTCTTGTGTCCCTCTGACATACCCCATCAATTTTTTTAGCACTTCCTTTCTGGCACTACAAGATGCTCCAGGCTCATCTTGTATATTTCCTGTCCTGGTCCTATAATCAGCCATTTTCCTAAGGAGCCCTGGTTCCTTTTGCTGGAGAATGTCATTAGAAACCAAAATCTGGATGCTAGGCATACTCATTGCTACCAGAGTGTCACTGGCCTGTGAGCCCTCTCAGTTCACATAGCAAGGAAATAAATGTTTGTATACTAACCCTTGTATATCTACATTCCTATAAATATTTCTATATGAAATCATCTGTATCAAGTTAAACATAAATTCAACTTATGTCTCCAACTCTGATCTATTACTATATGGATCATTCTGCCCTCTTCCCCTTGCTTGTAACGTCCCACTCCAAAAGTGAGAAAACTGGCTCTTACTAGCTGCCATTCGTTTACTTCATTATTCAATTCCAGTATGTATGTATTGTAGTATGAGAACGGTTAACTTTATCGTGATGGGAAACTACTTTATTAACTGGAGTGTAGTGCTTATGCACAGTTTCTTTTGTCTTGAGCCTTACAAACTCCACTCATTTCCAAAATTCCTTAGGTTGGCTCCTTTCCCTCCATCCTCTTCAGTGAGTTTGTGTCACACATTTGCAACATGGTTTGATTGTTCTGTCACATTCTGATTTCATCCTGGGATTACCATGTCTCCTAAATGATTTTTTAAAAATTTGCATACATTAAGGTTCATTCTTTGCAGTGTGAAGTTCTATGGGGTTTGACAAATATATAGTGTCACATTCACCATTATAGTATCATACAAAATTTTTACCACTCTAAAAAATCTGTGTTTCACTTTCCCTTCATCCCACCAAACCCTTGGCAACCACTTACCTTTTTACCATTTTCAGAGTTTTTCCTTTTCCAGAATGTCATATAATTGGAATCAAATAGTATGTAGCCTTTCCAGACTCGTTCCTTTCACTTGGAAATATGCCTTTAACATTCACCTACGTCTTTTTGTGGCTTGAGAGTTGATTTCTTTTTCTCTCTGAATAATTTTCCGTTGTATCAATGTACTACAATTTGTTTATTCATTTGCTTTGTTGAAGGACATCCTGGTTGCTTCCAGTTTTTGGTGATTATGAATGAAGTTGCTATAATCATTCATGTGTGGGTTTTGTGTGGGCATAAGTTTTCACATCAGTTAAGTAAACATGTGGGAGCATGACTGCTGGATCATATGGCAAGACTATGTTTAGCTTTGTAAGAAACCGCCTGTCTTCCAAAGAGACTGTGCTGTTTTGCATTCCCACCAGGAATGAATGGGAGTTCCTGCTGCTCTGCATCCTTCTGAATAATTGCTATTATTCAGTTATTTGGATTTTGGTCACTTTAATAAGCATGTAGTGGTATCTCATTATTGTTTCCCCAATGACAATTGATATTGAGCATCTTTTCACATACTTTTGTGAGATATCTATTTATTTCTTTCCTTTTATTTTTAGTTGGCATGTAATAAATGCACATATTTATGGGATATGGAGTGTTATTTCCATACATGTATACAGTGCATAATAATCAAATTAGGGTAATTAGCATATTGATCACCTCAAACATTTATCATTTCTTTGTGTTGTGAACATTCAAAGTCTTGTTAACTACCATTATCATGCTGTGCATTAGATCTCTAAAAGTTATTCATCTTGCATAACTGGCTTGCAGTATATCTTAATTTATCACAATCTACTTCAGATTAATACTAACTTAATTCCAGAAAAATTTAGAAAGTTTGCTGCAATGCAGCTCCATTTCCTCTCTCCTCTTTTGTGCTACTTATTTTTACATATATTACATCTTTATATATTATAAGCCTAACAATAGTTTATAATTTTAGGCAATTATCTTTGAAAGCAGTTAAGAGTAAAAAAATTATACACTTATACAGTCTACGGTAGGCAGAATAATGCCCTTGACACCACTCTCCTCCCAAATATGTCCACATCATGATCCCTGTAACCTATGAATATATTATCTTATATGGCAAAAGAGACTTTGCAGATGTGATCAAGATTGAAGACTTTGAAATGGTGAGATTATCCTGGATGATCTTGTTGGGCCCAGTCTAATCACATTAATCCTTGAAAGCAAAGAACCTTTGCTTTTTGGAGACTCTTTCTGGAGAGAGAATTGTGTGATGACTGATAAAGGGTCAGAGAGATATGATGTTGCTGGCTTTGCAGATGAAGAAAGGTAGCCCCAGGAAATGCAGGCAGCCTCTAGAAGCTAGTAAGAGGAGGTAAACAAATTTCCCCTTAAAGTCTCCAGAAAGGAATGCAGTCCTGCCTATACCTTGATCTTAGCCCAGTGAGTTCCATGTCATACTTCTGACCTGCAAAACTGTGAGATAATGAGCTTGTTTAAGCTGCTGTATTTGTGGTAATTTGTTTCAGAGTCAGTAGAAAACTAACACACTGCCTTATATTTACCTATGTAATTGCTCTTACTGGTGCTCTTTATTCTTCGGGTGGACTTAAGTTACCATCTGGTGTCATTCTCTCTCAGCCTGAAATAATTTCCTTTAGTATTTAATATTTCTTGTAAGGTAGCAATAAACTCTCAGTCTTTGTTTATCTGGGAATGTCTTTATTTCCCTCTCATTATTTGAAAGATAGTTTTATTAAATATAGAATTTTTGAGTTTTGTTTCCTTTTACCATTTTGAACATGTTGCTCTAATGCCTTCTGATCTCCGCTGTGTCTGATGAGAAGTCAGCTGTTAATCTTCTCCAGCATTCCTAGTACATAATAAGTTGTTGTTTTTCTCTTGCTGCCTTCACAATTTTCTCTTTGTCTCTGAATATTTTACTATGATGTGTTAATCTACTTGTGTTTCCTCTAGGTGGAGTTTCCTGAGCTATTATTGAATTTAATGTTTTGGGGCATTATTTCTACA